TTGTTTCGTCTCTTCGTCACCCCAGGGATCAAGTTCGCCCATCGAAGTATCCTCAAGTATACTGTCAATGACAGTGCCGGGGCTGCACATTTCCGTTTCCTTCGCTAACTCTGGCAGTGGTTCGTTAATGAGGTCGGATAGTGTTTGAACTGAAGTATGCAGTTTGTCGAAATTCGATTGCATTATCTCACATTTTTCACGTTTATCATTAGAGAGTTCACCTAACGAAACAACCAACGTAAATAGCAGATAAAATAAGTATTATAATCTAATAGCAATCAAAACTTACCTTTTGACTCTACTGTACGTCGTATATTCTTGGTCATATTCAATAGCTCTTCCTGCTCGGATAATAAATGTTTGCACAAATTCTTGAAGTAGTCCTTAAGCAATGAGCGTAGGTTTTGTTGCTTCTCGGATGTTAAGAAATCAGATTTCGGTATATTAGTCATATTGTGCTTCTCAGCAATTAATAACATTTTCCTAGGCACCAGTCCGGCGTACTCCTCACCACAATGACGACAGAATGAAAGTATTATGGAAAAATTGCTGTGATCTTCTTTGTCTGACGATATGACATTAACCAGCACAGCGCCAAGCAGCGAAAGTCCCTGTTTACTATTTATTACTCCGGAACTGACAAGCTCAGCAAATAAACGCAGATCAACGCGCAGTTTACTTGGATTTGCAATTTTCTCACCAGTCTTAAGCGCCAACGTCTTCTGCCAAGCTTCCAGGAAGCTGGCGCTGAAATCGGAGTAGATTTGATTAAGTTTTGAACACAAAATAACTGCGGCGGGAACATCGGTCATCTTGATTTTTGCATCGCATACAGCGGAGCATATTTCTGTGATATATTTGCTTAAATTGAGACTCGTCATGTCTTTGAGCAACTGATCGAGCTGCGCAGCTGTGAATTGGCGTAGTTTTTTGACGAAAGCCGTATTTTTCTTAAGACTCGAGTCCAACTTAGCGAAGTGTGATTCGGCAGGACGATCGCAGTCATAATTCTCAGTTCGTAATTTTGTTTTTGTGGCAATTTTTGTTTGCAGTTCTCTAATGAAGTTCTTTAGCTCTTCAAGTTCCTCTTGCGCCAACTTTTCTTGTTGTTGTGCATCTTCAAGCGCAGTATTTTCTATCGTTTCTTGTTTTTCTTCACTCATTATCTAATTTTACCAATAACTCTGAATAATTTTTTTCTATATAAAAATCCGTTTACTTTTTATTAAAAACTCAAATACCACATATCTTCTAAAAATTTTTATGTTTGCTTGGCATAAATAACATGCAAAATATATCGACAACAGCTGACGTTATGTTGATAACGCAGTTCATATTCGAAAAAATTTTCGAACGCGGTTGTCGGTTGAATTTCGTCAAATTTTTTAATTTCTCATGATTTTTGAAAAATGCGGTATGAAATGTTTATTGAAATATAAACAAAGAGGGAACTAGATTTTTATTTTTTTTGTAATGTATTATTTTTATTTTCAAACGGAATAATTAATCAATTGTTCAAATAATACATAATTTTTTATTATATTATATTATTATATATAAAATTATATAGAATTTCCACTAATATTTCGGTTAAAGCTTTTGCAATTATTATTACAAATTTATGACATTTCAATTCAAAGAACATAATGTAAAGAAACTATACTCGTACGAGTTATACTGGACTCGTACGAGAGTTTTGTTTGTAATTTTGCTGTCATGTTTGTAATTTTAGTTGTCAATTGTTGTTGCTTTTAATGCAAAATGAAAATTTTTGACAGCTAAAATTACAAACAAAACTCTTATGTGAATCCAGTATTATATTGCATTCACTCTAGAGTTTTGTTTCTAAAAATTATTATTTCGCTTTGAAAGCAATAATAATTAACAGCTAAAATTACAAACAAAACAATCGTGTGAATCCAGTATTAAGGACGTGTGCGAGTTAGGCTAAGCTAATGCTAAACCAAATGGGAGATTTTTTGAAACTTTTTGCATTGCATACATTTAGCCATTTATTAACACGTACCGCTTAATTTTAAGTAATAATTATTTTTGTTTCCTTGTTTATTTGTGATATTTGCAGAATTACAACAAAGCAACAAATTTGACGTTTCGTTAATTGCAATCAATCAAACCAGTTTAACCAGTTTGAACGCAATTAGGTTTTGGTTAATTGCAAAATTTCTATTTATTGCAATTTGTAAAAGCTTGAAAAGACTCTTAGGTTACTTCCACCTAACTAGTTTGTTGGTGTGAAACCTGACCTACCACAATCACCAATAAATAATGATTTGTGAAATAGATTCCAACCTGTGGTCCTTGATTCTTTAATCATGTGCAGAATTAAAATTAATTAACATTCAGCAGGTTATATTCATTAAAGCCAGCATTTGGTTAAGGGGTGTGGTGAAAACAAGATTACAGTCACACTAGGCACCAGCATATTCTACGTTCTGGGTGAAAATGATTGTGATTGTAGAGAGGGATAAGAATATGGTTGGTTCTGCACTCATCAATGTTGTAGTTTACAAATTAAGGAATCCTATACCTTATAGTTTAAAGCAAGTTAATGAGTAGGCTGTTGACCTGAAGGATGTCAGGAAGCAGGTTATGACATCAGGTTAAGTGTTTCCTAGCAAGGGAATAGATAATCGTTAATGCGAATCAGTTAAGAAATGGTGTGTAATAGATTTTGGTGTTTGCCACCAAATCTGCGCTTGTGATTGATACTCTTACGATAACTCTTCTTGCAAAGGCCCTGTTTAAAATCATCTGATGGGAGCTTTTTCTCTAATGGGACAGTACAACGTACAGATGAGCTCCTTATAGCAAATTAATTTGACTTTGCTGTTAAATGATCGTATGTGATTAGCACATTTTTGAGGTGAATTTGACTGGATGTGACATTCTAAATAACTTATTTGACTTGAGCAACAAAGTTGTGTTTGGAAGTCAATACAAATCCAAGAAATGTGAAGTTATCCGCAATTTGTGTACGCGTGTCATTAATATAGTATAATGATATAGATATAGTAATGAGGCCTTGAAGTTGTTGCTCGAACTCTACACTGACTAGTTAGAGTAACGACCGTAATTTTGGAAGATTTTTATGCAAATTTTCACTATAGTAAATGGAGAGCGCGTAAAAATGACTTTTATGCTCGTAGTAGATTCTTTCAGGGAAACTGGATCTCATACAGATCAGCCAATCGACCGCAAAGCAAATTTGCTTGAATCCAGTAGAGAAACGGGAATATCTGTTGTGTAGATAATAAAATAATTGGTGCCCCAGAATTTAACTTTGAGGCACAACAGTCACACTAGGAAAAATTCATAACAGGTCTGAATCAATTCTGAATATAAAGGATCTAAAAGCGAGAATCTAAGGAGCTGAGTGGGGAATCAATATAGAAGAAGCTTATGAATCAAGTCCTCGATATACATAGTACAAAACACGTTTACCATATCAAGATTAATAACTATAGTGGAATGCTTGTTGGCGAATCTAATCATGAAGATGATGCTAAGCATATATAGTCAACTTTTTGCTTCTGAACTTGAACTGGAGCTTGAAAAAATATTATTTTTAAATTAATTTGTAGGAATGTTTCATATAATTTTCTTACTAAGTTAAGCAATGATGTAGGATGGCAGGAAAGTTGGTCGTTGGGCAGATAATGGTCCATTTACGTACTTGGCTAATATTATATGAGTAATTAAATAACATTGCACAATACTTAAAAAATTGGGAGCGAGAACAATCGCAGTGTCTTTGAAGATATCTTATCGATGTTGGAAGACTTGTTTTGTCTTTTAAGATGAGTATATCCCGGATCTGGTGGGAAATAATACCATTTATGTCATCAGCATTAGTGCAGAAGATAACTACAGTAGGAACAATCATCCATCTTCTATTTGAAACCTTCAAACCTAGTTCTTTTAGTGAAGAAATGGTTTTGCCACGTTAGTCGGCGGTCGAGATGTATTTCTAGGTTCATCTGATTGTGGCATTTCACAATTAGTTGTTTTTATGTTAATAGATAAAATGTGTAACGATTTGGATTCATTAGCTTTCATACGTCAATTCTCTCATTAAGATACTATCCCTATCTAACTACGCTCGTGTCTACTTTTTTTGTTTAGTATTATTGTTTTTAAATCAATAATAAGATTTATTATATCTACATATGTAAGACAACTTACTCACATATCAAGAATAACGCATTACTACATATAATTTTATAGGTCAACGGAAGTGTAATCTAGGACACTTCCTAGACTCGAACTTTACTTAGCTGCAAATCGATAAATGTTAATGTCATTACGAATAAGTAATTTACTGACCTAAACACGAAAGGTTATGAACTTAGGTCTGTCAGAATGCAACCTCTAAATATTTGTGCCTTTCAAATTTAATTTGGCGAGAAAAAAGTCATTTAATAAAGAGGAACGTGGTTACCAGGGCAACGAGGTTTTATCGATAAACAATCTCATGGAAAAATGGAAAAACAAAATTGGGAACTACGTGTTCAGCTCAGTTGCTATAATTCCATGAATTCCGACACAAAGAGTTTTCAGAGCAAACGCTTATTAAATGCTTTCTGGGCCTATTCAGGAAAATTTCTTACAACAACGTCATCCGTTAAAATTCCCGCGAGTAGAATCCATTAAAGAACTTTTGCAAAGATCAAGCATTCCAATTGTGAGTGCAGCAACAAATCAAATCAACACAATTCATCCAAACATAAACATTTTCACAAAACTTCATTTAACACATGAAGAGTCACGGTTCATCCTACCTCGAGAATCGCACTTTCGATTCGCGGCTGGTGAAGGACAATCTGCTGGATAAGCGCTTAAAGCGTGCGGATGAATATGTGGAACGCAAAGATTATAGAAACTTAGTGGAATCATATGTATTACCAAACGTCATTATTTTCTAAGGCACACTGATTTAAGTTTCGAAATATTTTTTTGTTGAATTTCCTTAAAATTTTTCATTTCGGAATTGAATTTTAAAACACAACAAATGTAGAATTGATTTCAGTCACAATATTTACGAAAATTTTGAGTTTTTATTGCTTTACACTTATTTGGCCCGTTAATCAAAATCACAATGGCAGCACCAAAGGAAACTGTAATGTATTCACAATTGCAGCCATGGAGCACAGCTGGCGCCCCACCATGCATGGAACCCGTGGTTGGTCCACCAGTGCCGCCGCGTGTCGGTATTTCGTATCAGGTATATTGTAGTGCATATTCTTCGCATTCTTAGACTGTAACTTAATTTTCTACCATTTTTTGGTTAGACCACCCAACGTCATCCATGGCGACCGGCACTGGCCTACGAAATGATGGAGGTTCAAAATTTACCAGAACAACCTGTCACAAATCAAATGATGCAACCTTGCTTTGTACCTGATGGTATGTCTACAAATCCCATAATATTTCCGAATTTAGTTACAGGTTTCGATCGTAATCCTCAACATGCGGCTAGAGCTGCTCTGTACACGCGTTACACTGGCACTGAGTGGATCAATAATAATCTCAGCAAATATGCCGAGGCAAATATTAATCGGTAAACTATTTAATGGCCTTATTTAGAATAAATTTATAAATTTTATGAAAATATTTTTTTTTTATTTTCAGACATCAATCGGAAAGTTTGCGCAATGATGCAGTGCGTTTGATGCGTGAGACTGATGAGAAAGTTGCACAAGGTCAACGCGAGGCTGGTAGACGTATTGGAGAGCGTATAACTGATGTGACTTTCTGGCGTAATGAATTGAATACTGAATTGGAGAAACTTGTCTTTGAGTCATCTGCTTTTACGGAGCTGAAACGTAAGTGCGCTAAAGCTATGTTGGGTCTGGAAGCACCACTGCATATAGCGCAAGAATGTCTCTATCATCGTGAAGGACGTGAAGGTATAGAAAAAGTGCATGACTCCGTGGAAAAAGCTTTGCTTGTGGAAATAGAAAACTTGCGCAATTCCAGAGATAAATTGAATGAACTTCACGGAAAGGTATGTGAAATATATAAGACATTTTTAAGTAGTCCTGACATAATTTAACTAATTAGTTATGAAGTTTATAAAGAGTATATGAAGCTTATATATTGTGGGTGATATAGAAAGAATCTGTAGATTTCTTGAGTGCATTTTTAAAGAAAGATGTTTTTTAATGAAAATCAATTCTTATCAAATATATATATTTATCTGAGCTGATCTTAATGTACAGTTTATATTAATGAAGATAATAGCTCTGAATATAGCATTGTAAAGTGTTCGGTCTGCACAAAGTTGGATAGAAAGTTCATAATAACTGAGAAACGAACAGCTTGCAGGATCACGTGGGATGCTATAAATTGATATACTTATAAGACATGATCTACATATAACATATATAAGAGGAGATATGCAATGAACTTCAGTTGTTTTATTTAATGTTAACTCCATATTTGACCTTTGGGAATGGGATTTGAATAACAATTTTATGTTCTTTAAGAGTTAAGAGACACGATAAATTGTCATTGTGTTTGTTATTTCTTGGAATATATGGTATTGTACAAATTAATCATTATATTGAAATTTATTGTTAATATTGATTGATAATATATAATAGGAAAGAAAGTGTGGAATTGGGATCAAATCACTCCTATAATGTTAAGAAGCTTTTTATATTAAGCCTAGTACTAATATTCTAGGCTGACATGGATCTTTGCATTAGGGTTTAGATATATGTAATATATATTTTCAGGTCGATGAGTTTTCAACTGTGGTGAAAACGATGGTAGTATCTCCCATCTGCTTTGCTTCTTTTCAGCATATGAGCGGCGTCGCCTTATCACTTTAGGGTCTTTCTTTTTAGAGGATCTTGTAGAACTGCAAGTGATTCAAACCCATTAGGGCCTTTAGGTCTAAGTGGATCCCTTGGGATCGCTGGTATAATCTTACCTAACCTAAAAATAATAATTGTCTATTATAAGAATAATAATTGTCTATTATAAGAATAATAATTGTCTATTAGAGGAATAATAATTTTCTATTATTATAAGAATAATGTTTGCCAGTAGTTATTCATAATTGTCTATTGTAATAATAATAATAATAATAAATAATCTATTATTGTCTATTATAATTGATGGTTAAATATTATTTATTAAGAAAAAATGTTTATTTGCCATAATCGACTTTGAAAATTAAATTAAATATTAATAAAGTATTAACTTGTGAGAGGATGTGAAAGGCTGGTCAATCTTTCGTTGTTCTTCCAATGTCCATAAGATCTTTAAAAAAAATATACCTAAACACAGATTTGATTAATATTAAGATAATGAATATAAAGATAGAAATAATGACTAAAAAAGAAAATTATTTAAAACACATATTATTATTAAAATATATATATTTATTATTCTTTGTATTTAAATCTACATTCAGATCACTCAGCAAGCGAATGATTGTCGAGCTGCTCAGCATTTATTGGAAGAAGACGTGACTTTTAAGGAATCAACACTTGGTATTGATTCAGTGTGTCATCAACTTAATAACTACAGTCGTGGTATTACCTATTATGGAGGCATTGAAAAATATGATCCCAGCATAAGCACACAGGAGTCCTGGGCAGAGGCAACCAGTCAACGCGTTAGCCGGTAAATTATTAAAATTTTCATTGGGCCTCAGTGAATCTAATCCTTATGTCATCTGATCTGCATTATTTTAAAAATTGTTTTTATAATTTTTATTAATTTTTTTAAATTATTTAAGTTCACAAGCTGAACGTGCTAAGCTGACACAACTGAGAAGCGATGCAGAAACCACTGTTAATGGCATTGCATCTGCACTTTGGGATTACTGGAGTCGTACGAATAATGCTCTAGATCGCCGCTGTCAGGAAATGGCTGAATCCAAAAACAGAATACAAAATCATTTGCAAAAAACCCAACAGGAGCTGTTCGATTTGGAGAAGTTCTTATTTTTGTTACAAAAGGCTATACAGGATAAGTCGAAACCTTTACAAGTTGCACAGACACGTCTCGAAGCCCGTTCTCATCGTCAAGGTCTGGAGCTGTGCAAGTAAGTGTACTCATAGCCTTAGAGTTTATGAATCAATTGATGATTTTCTGTATTATTTTTAAGGGACTTTGCACAGTTACGTCTAATAAGAGAGGTACAAGATATTCAGGGCACCGTTAATCAATTGCACAAGAAACTACAGGAAGCCGAGGCTCAACATCAGAGTTTATTGAAAACTCGTTCCATGCTTGAATCGGACTTGAAGCGCAAAGTTAATGCTCTCTTTATTGATCGCGAAAAATGCATGGGGTTGCGTCGGTCCTTCCCTGTGGACACTTTAATTAAATACTAAAATTTTAGCGTGGTTAAAATTATGGACAATATAAGTTAAATTTATGTACATACTTTACGTGAACTTAAAATACACTAGAAAAATTATACTGTTAAAATGTGATAATTTATGTATTTTTTCATTTTATGGTTTAACTTTTGTGATTTACATTATAAGCAGAAATAAAGGTAATAAAGGTAAGACACTCCGTCTAATGAAAGGTGGAACTTACATTAAAGTCAATAGATAAACAGGACAATCTTGATCAAGTATTTACACTAGGTCAGTCTTGATCTTAAGGTTAGCCTGGTTTAAACTGGGTCTACCATTTAATGACTTTTGTGGTGGTTGTGGTTTTGAGGATGAGTACGAAATAGTGATCCACTTCATATGTCCGTGTCCATCTTTACCTACGGGAAGATCTAAAATTTTCGGGACCTCTTTTATTACCGACCTGTTAAGTTGATTCAATTTTTTTTGTTAAAAACATTATTGTTGATTGATTTTATATATAGTGGTGGTATTTGATATAAAATAAATGAAACATAAATTGTATAATTTAAAATTAAAAATGCTGAAGTCTAATTGCGCTCTCTACGGCTCAAATTTGTTCTAGCGACCGAACTTGAACATGCTCACATTCAAGAGTTGTCATTCAAACAAAATTTTGGAAGAATAAGGGAGTTTTCGCACGCTATAAAAGTGTTTAGCACGTTTTAAGTGTGTTAGTATACAAGTTTTTGGGTGACAGACTATCATTCACATTCATCAATTTTTTTTCTTGAATGTTAGTCTGCACCGTGCTTTATACTTATTACGTGCTTTGAAAATATATTTGACTATGTAATGTCCCTGATTTATTAAAACGAAGTATATATTTGAAGTATTGCTCCATAAAATGATATTTGTTTAATGTAGCTTTTTGCAATATGTTTATGAAAGAATACGCCTGTAAAAAGAACTTAATAAGTTGCTTAAATTTAATCAGGTCCGTAGTAGAGTAAACTGTTGAAATTAAGGATTGCCGCTTTATGCAAATGTTGTAAATGGTAACGCCACTAGTTTTTGAATATGTTTTATACGAAATAGAAGGACCTAAGCAAGAGTTTAATTTATTAATTATGGCCGTGTGCGAGTTCAAGTGAATTGAGGTAAAGTAAATTGAAATTACCTAGGAATTTTCTGCACTGCAGTTATGTAAATATTTATTTATTGCACTTATTTATTATTTTTGGTTAAAAGTTTTCAAATTTATTTATTAAACATCTTATTTAGGTCGTGTGCGAGTTAGGCTAAGGTCGTGTGCGAGTTAGGCTAAGTTGATGCTAAGCCAAATGGGAGATTTTTTAGGTTTTTTTGCACTGCACACATTTAGTCATTTATCAACACGTATCGACACATTACTACATTATCTGCTCATCTTAGAATTTTCCTCATTTAGAACGCAACTTAGCCTAACTCGCACACGACCTTAAACGCAACAAATACTTAAAGGTATTTTATGTTTTCTCAATATAACTATGAAAGATGATACATTATTATAGCCCCCACTGTACTTATGTTCAATGCACTGCATTATCAACTTCGAACATTTTTTGACATTCATCCCATATGACATTTCACATGACATTGTGTGCGTGTCGTGTAAAGGCACAAAAAGGAAACTTTGTCAAAATTTTTTCATAGAAGCCGGCGAACGTTATTAATAATTTTATCATTTTGGTATATTTTAAGTAATCCATTTTATAAAAGGTAAACATATTTTTATAATTCTCTTGGAGATGTTTTTAGTGGTGTGGTAAAAATTGCTTAATAGTGATAATCGTCAGTACGTTTAATGTTTTTTTAAGTTCATTTTGTTATTTGGGAAGAAGAAAAAACAAAAAAAATTTGCATGTCATTCAGTTTAAAGCAAAAAAAAAAATATCAAAATTTTAATAAAACTATTTTATAATATTTTTATTAACTAACCACAGCCCTTTAAAGCTGCAGCGTAATTCCACTTAATGGTGACGTGTACGAAGCCTTATCGAATACAAATTGTGTGAGGCACATGCGGTAACCAAGCAGCGGGCATCGATTTTTAATTATGTAAAATATACTATTATTATTATTTTTATGTATGTGAGAACCCTTGCACATGTTAAGTTGTTTAAAGTTTATATGTAAATATTTTGATTTGTTTAAAAATAGCCAATTTGATTTATAAGTGCAGCCGAGTGGCTGATACGGAATTTGGCGATTTGAAGTGTTGACGTTCGAAAATATTATCGCAGTTATAATTAAAATATATTATTGTGCCAAATTATTAAATACTCAGAATATTATTTATTAGCTTACATTCTACATTTTAGCGTACAGCATACGATATGCGTGCGGCTATTTTTCTGTTATTATTTTGCGTAGTCGGACTGGCGCTCGGAGTGGACCAGACCAACTTTAAAACATGTGATCAAAGCAGTTTTTGCAGGTAAACTATAATTTCCCTTCATAATTAAAAGCTATTTTAAAATGTATTTACACTTTTAGGCGTGTGCGTAAGTTACAGCCTGGAAACTCAAAATTTGCGTTAGTTCCTGGTACTTTAAATACCTACTCCGACTCTGTTACTGCTGATATCATACACAAGGATAATCAGCATTTATTTGTTTTTAAGCTAGAAGCCTTACAGGTACATTAATCAAGGCAGTTAACGTTAATTATTATAATTGCTTACCTTTCCACATACAGGGTAACACTTTCCGTGTGCTGATTGATGAAAAATCACCACTGAGGCCACGTTACAAAGTTGAGCACGCTTTGAAAGATACGCCAAGACCCGGAACGTAGGTTTAGCTACCTTACCAATATGCAATAATGTAAATCATACTTTAATATTTCAGCATAAAAGTGTTGAATGAAGATGGAAACCAATTGACAATTGTTTCTGGTTCCAATAAAGCTGTTATCATAGGTGACCCATTCCGCATTGACTTCTACCAAGATGATGTTTTGAGCGTATCTGTTAATGCTAAGGGACTCATGAATTTCGAGTATCTGCGTACAAAACCAAATACGGAAGCTAAAAACGAGGTTGACGGAAACGTTGAAGCGGCGGCGCCTGCTGAAGCTACTCCAGACGCACAAAATGCTGTCAAGCCAGCAGAAGATGAAGATCCTGGTGCTTGGGAAGAGAATTTTAAGTCACACCATGATTCTAAACCTTACGGACCAGAAGCTGTTGCTTTGGATTTCTCATTCCCAGAAGCTGAAGTCTTATTTGGCATACCGGAGCATGCTGACAGCTTTGTGCTGAAGTCGACTTCTGGCACAGATCCATATCGGCTGTATAACTTAGATGTATTCGAATATTTGATTGATAGTAAAATGGCTCTATATGGCTCCATACCTTTGATATATGGACATGGGTAAATATTCCATTTTAATTATTAACATTTAATTATTTTCATTTGTTGTTTAATTAATTTTTAATTACTTTTAGTACACAACGCACAGCTGGCGTTTATTGGCAAAATGCTGCCGAAACCTGGGTGGACATTTACACAGCCTCTAATAATGTTGTTTCATCAATTGTCAACTTTGTCTCACGTAAATAGTTTAAATGCAATTGGTTAGTAAAATAATAATCTCTTTATTCGTTATATTTCAGGTTCACGGAAAGCAGATCCGCCTGCAGCACAGTTTATATCTGAATCTGGTATAATAGATGCTTTTATATTATTAGGACCTACACCAATGGATACATTTAAGCAATATACTGATTTGACTGGTACAGGAAACTTACCACAATTGTACTCACTTGCTTATCATCAATGTCGTTGGAACTACAATGATGAAAAAGATGTTGAGACCGTATCTGAGAACTTCGACCTTTACGATATTCCTATGGATACTATGTGGCTCGATATTGAATATACAGATGCTAAAAAATACTTTACATGGGATCAATATAAATTCCCAAATCCTTTGAATATGATTAAAAATCTAACAGATTTGGGTCGCCACTTGGTTATTATTATTGATCCACATATCAAACGTGATACTGGTTATTTCTTCCACAACGACTGCACTGAACGTGGCTACTATGTTAAACACGCAGATAACAGAGATTATGAAGGCAAGTATTTATGTATATATGGTATGATTGAGATAAGCTTTACATGTTGTTGTTGTTGTTGTGGGAAACCATGAGTGTGGTATGAGCAGATAACATGAAAGGAATTACAAATACGTATATTTAAGTTTGTGTATGTTTAGGTATAGTGAATGTGAAAGGGATTGTTTAGGAAATGAGAGTGGACTGGGAATGGGTAGAATTATAATGCAAAGCATTAAGAAAAGTCATTTACAAAATGTTATATTACTTAAAGTTATATGATAGTTGAAAACCCTATTTAAGTTATTAATATACCTTTTATTGAAAAGATACTAAATCGTATTCATCGCTAGATAGGTAGATTATACCGGCGAATTGATCCACTTAGATCTATAAACCCATTGTGTTGCCGTATATTTAAAAACTCAAAGGTTAGAACCACTTAGAACCTTCGGCAAAGCTTATAATGCTATTCAAGGGGTTATTCATCATTAAATTCATGTTGCTTCTCGGTCCATTTATTATGTATTCTTTATTTTTTTTATTTTTTTTTATTATCAATAAGTACTCCCAAAATGTGTTTTAATTCTAATTAACGTGAACTTAAATACAAATGAGAATAAAGATAAGTTCAAGAACATTCACACTTCAGAGGTGTGAGAGGCACCGACTATTTAAACAGAAAATGCAGTTCTAAAGAGATGGTAACTATTGATTAACGCTGTTGAAAGTTGTTTATAGTAAAAACGTCATAATAATTAAAACTATACGATAGTTAGATGAAGATTCTATTTAAATTGGCGTTCCACACTTATTACGCCACACTTTCTGCTACATTAATGGCAGAGCACATATAACAACAGTTTTACTTTCTTCTTAAACGTATAACAAATGTAGCTATGAGCTATGAATTGCTATGATCTTTGGAAAGAAATGGGGGAAAAAAATCCCTATCAACAATTAATAGGTTGGACGCGGTTAGGTTGAAGTGACGATCCCAAAAAGTTCGGGTTTATTTTCAATAAATTTTGCTTTAAAATGGTTAACAATGACTTAGTACGACTGTCTCGCTATGAAAATGTTTAAAATTACTTAGTAGCTTAATATGGTTCCTTTGTTTATATGAAAGCCTATGAATATTTAAGGCTACGTTGCCATTTCAACTGAATGGATCTACTTTAGGTAGATCCACCTGAAAAGAGATAAACACTTGGTTGTATTCCTTTTTCGGGTTTGATCTAAGCTAGGAGAAGAATATTAGATAGATAATATCTATAATCGTCTGATTTACAGAAATTCTCAAGCCCACACTAATTTTAGTTCTATTCGTTTATGACTGTGACCCATTCAAGTGGTTAGGTGCCAATACTTTGACGGAGGCAAGTTTCAATTAAGATCCAGCCACGCCACCGTATATTCTTTATCCCAAATAAACTTTCTATCTCTAACTCTTTCTTCATACAAGCACATTCAAATCGATCGACTATTCGTTTATGACCGTGGAGGCAACTTTCATTTAAGATCTTATCTCTGCTTTAACCTAAATAATCTTTTTTTCTCTAATGCTCTCTTCACACATGCTTTCTAATCCATGTATTCTTATTGAAGTTCTATTGAAGTTGCCTTTTATATAGTTATTAAACGGCTATAATAACAGCAGCAAATCCTTAGGCAGAGAAATTCTAGGTTTCATTCAATATACTGAATGTCTCCAATTCGATTAGCGTCAGTTGATATTGTACTATGGTCGTATAATCGTTATACATATGATCATTTCTCTGTAAGCCATGAACCTTATTACTTTCTATGGTAATCTATTGTATATTTACTCAGATGTTTTATATGCCTAATTTTCGTCAGTAACGATTTGTGCAAGCATATTGATCAGCAAATTGATTGAATTTTGTGTCATAAAACGACTTCTTCACTCTTCTAACAGAACATATAAATTGTACTCTTATACTGGATTACTGTATAAACTATTTTCTAACATATCAATAATTCTTTTACAGGTTGGTGTTGGCCTGGTGCTGCAAGTTATCCAGATTTCTTCAATCCAGAAGTACGCAAATACTACTCCGACCAATATTTACTTTCGAACTTCAAGACTGTAACTTCTGACGTTATGTTCTGGAATGATATGAATGAACCTTCAGTGTTCAACGGTCCTGAAGTAACAATGTACAAAGATTTAATACATTATGGCAATTGGGAACACCGTGATGTGCACAATCTCTACGGTCATATGTATATATGGGGCACTTTTGATGGCTTGATCAAGCGTGATCCAAATCAACGACCATTCATATTGACACGCGCATTTTTCGCGGGTTCACAAAGGTATGCTGCCATTTGGACAGGTGACAACACCGCAGATTGGGGACACTTGCAGCATTCAATTAAGATGTGTTTGACAGCTGCTGTTTCTGGTTTATCATTTTGTGGTGCTGATGTTGGTGGCTTCTTTGGCAATCCCGATCCTGAGCTATTTGAGCGTTGGTATCAAACAGGCGCATTCTTGCCGTTCTTCCGTAGTCATGCACACATTGATACAAAACGACGTGAACCTTGGTTATATCCCGAAAAGACCCGTCTGGTTATACAAGACGCTATACGAAAACGTTACGCTTATTTACCGCTGTGGTATACAATGTTCTATGAGCATGAAATCGATGGAGGTCCAGTGGTTCGACCCCTCTTGGCACACTATCCCAAGGACAAAGATGCCTTTGGTATTGACAACTCTTTCTTACTACAAGATCGTTTACTTGTGCGTCCAGTATTGCAGCAAGGTGTTAGTAAAGTAGATGTCTACTTCCCAGCCATCGATGACAAAAAAACTGGTGACTTATGGTACGATGTAGACACGTATCAGAGATATGAAAAGTCAGGTTATGAGTCCATTCCAGTGAATGATTATAAGGTATTACCTCATTTCATGTGATATTGTTTAACATTTTAAATACTAAATTATTTTTTAGGTACCTGTTTTCCAAAGAGGTGGCACAATCGTGCCAAGAAAGGAACGTCACCGTCGCACTTCCTTACTCATGCAGAATGATCCCTACACTTTGATTGTGTGCCTCGATCGCGAAGGAAAAGCAAATGGCACACTTTATATTGATGATGAGAAGTCTTATGGTTATCGCAAAGGCAATTATATTCATGTGAACTTTGCGTTTGAAAATTATCGATTGACAAATCACTTTATTGGAACACCCAAATATGACTCTAAATCGTGGATTGAGCGCTTGGTGATTGCTGGGCTCGAAAAGGTGCCCAAATCCGCCACAATTGTTATCGATGGCATTTCCAAGCAGTTGGACGTTTTGCAACAAGGCAAAGCGGTGATTATACGCAAGCCTGGCGTGCATGTTAGAATGGACTTCAGTCTTAGACTTAATAATTAGTATTCAAAGAAATTTTATTTTCAAACGTAAATTCTCATTCCCAATTTATTTAGTGGCATGTCGTCGCCAGAACACAATATATTTTATTTTCATACAAATATCTTTTATTAAAATCAACAAATGGAAAATCCTTTTAATTTAGTTTTCCTCTTAAATGTAGTTAATTTTAGTAATAAATTTAAAGTTTGATGTTTAATGAAATAAGTTGTGTGTTTTTGTACCAGCTGTGTTTGCACCCTGTTTCTGTTGAAGCAACAGTTTGCTGATTAGGACGTTTGACTGGAATGACAACAAACCGCAAAGAAATAATTTAGCGCCACCCAAACTGGAATTTAATCTTTCGTTATTGGCGTAGAAATGGCATAAAAATATGGAACGCTTATGAATTGTTGCAGGGGAAGTGGGAAATACTTCACGTACATGCGCATTATGACGTCTATGCTGCGAAGATATCCGATTGTGAGGATGTTGGTTGCAGAATCCATAAATTTATATATTCTATTATCAGAGTGTAGGTTCGTGTTAAGTGTGCAATTATTTGGAAGTTTGCAGTTTTCAAAGATTTCCGAGTTAAGGATTTACGAATGGATAACATAAATTTCAACAACGAATGTTTAGGACTCCCAACCAACACTTAAGGGTTGAAGGAAATACACTTCGTTAGTAGGTGCCGTGCATGCGGAAAATTCATTAAATTTTTATTTTATAAATCCTCCCTTATGTGGATTTTAACTCTTATCTGTGTTATTAAACCTTGTAAATTCTCCTCCCTCACACATATTCGCACACAAATCTTAATTCCTATAGCACTTAGAAAGTAGAGTAAAGGAATATTTGTAGCAAAAAAGGGTTAATGTTTGTTGGAGGTTATCACTCATATCAAAAGGTTCAGTTGTAGGTTAATAGGTTCATTTCTGTAAAATCTTTTCAATTTTTGACTAATGACCTATTGTTAGCTGCAGTGGCTCGTTATTGTGTGGAGGTTGAATGTGGAAACTAGAGAAGATTTTCTTGCTGACTCTTCTGCATATATTTTTGTTTAGGTTATAAATATTGTAAATTATGTGATTTCAATACAATGTATATACGTAGGCTGCCTTTAAAGTATGCAGTCTACTTCTTTTAAAACAACATTAAATATGCCTGCATAAATTTTGCCATCTCTGGAAGAAAGATTGACATTTTCTAGCGAAAATATCATTATAGATTCTAAATTGTGTCTCTGCGAAAAAATGGATTTAAATAATGAATATTTGCGGGTAATGATTTTTTACGATTTTTGACGCAGATTAACCAGAATAAAATGCATCGATCAACTAAGATCGTCATTTGGTGATGAACATCCATCTTCATCGACTGTTCAATGAGTTCGAGCGTGATCGTCGTTTTCTCTTAAACGCATTTCGTGAAGGTCGTCCAAAAGCGGCTGTTGTATCAGAAAATATCGATGCATTTCGAGAAACGATTGAGATGGATCGGCATTCTTTAAATACGCGTTGATTGCTACAAAAGAAATGAAATGAAAAAAGACGGCCGAGGTAGCTCACTACTCGTTTAGGACATTGTGATATGTGACGATTCATGGATCTATTCCTACGAGCCTGAAACAAAATATCAATCCACTGTTTGGGTCTTCCAAAATGAGCAGAACTCGCAGACGGGACAAATACAAGCAAATGGTTGTATGTTTTTTCAGACAAACCGGTCATGTCGCAACATATACCTATATTATACGAGGGCTGTCTTTTAATTCTTGCGCCTAACAATCAATCAGTTTTATTGTTTTTCGAAGTATTCTTTATGATGATCAGCACTTCTTTGCATTCGATTGGACCAATTTTCGAAATAGTTTTGCCACTTTGAAGTTGGTATTTCCAAAACTAGGGATTTAAATGTCACAATGGCCTGTTAGGGCAAAGAAAAGTGTTTGGGAACAGGAAGTCATTTTTCTTTTCATCATTCCTATCGTTGTGGGTATGTGGGGAGGACGATAAAAGTGTACCACATATATTTTGTAAAAGTCGAGCGTATGCTGGCAACAAATGTCTATGCTAAGGGTTTATTTTTTAAAGAATTTATGCCAGTTCAGTGCCCTCTCTTTAAAGAGTATTTTACGCTTCGCCAAAGTTTCAATTTAGTTTTTAAGGCTATGAGTTTTCTGTACGGTAACATAATGCTCCATCTAATCCTGAGATCTAAGTGGCTTCTTAGGATGGCTAATATAACCTAACTTAAGCCTATAGAATTAGAAAAAAAATTTGTGAAATTAAATTATCTGCTTAAACCCGCCTATAATTGTTTTTTTTCGATCTTATCTAATGATTTTTGTTTATTTTGTGAAGAACAAGATATTAAAGTGCAATAAATCGTTCTCTACTATATTTAATAGAACCACCTGACCAGCGACTTTACAAACGTGTACATTATTAAAATTTTTGTAGATGGAGAGGTTTCGAACAGTAGTGAATTATAACAACAAAATTTTTATAATAATTTGTGTGAGCGGAATAATTTGTCAATTTAAATACAAAATAAAAACTATATATATTTAAACAAATTATATTTTATTAAATTATTCCGATATTTTGACAATCTTCGATTGTCATCTCCAGGGAAACCTGAATTTATTATTATATAATATTTTTATCTACATAAAAAAAAACAAAAAAGAATAAAACAAAATTTTTATTTATTTTTATTCATTGATTTTTTGGTTGACCACACAGCTGTTTCAAGTATTGTCCAATACCCATCGTCAGTGGTCCTGGAATTATTTCTTATATTTAAGAATAATATTTTTTTGAGACTGCAGGGTTCAATTAATTAAAAATAAATAAAAATTTTGTTGTTACAATTCACTACTGTTCGAAACCTCTCTATTATATACAATAATTCCTATTAAGTTAAATAGTTACTATCATCATAACTGACGTTAAAATTAAATTTAATATTTTTGTAGCTGAAAAGAAAAGTTCTTTTTGTTTTTATAAAAAGAAATAAATATTTATGAAGTATATTTTAAACAAATATCATTTGTGTTTCATATTAGACTAAGTACTAATTTCAATGTTCTTAAGTCAGTCCATTACTTATCAATTAAAATTTGATTGACTTCTAAATTAAATATTAATTTCAAGCAAAATCCTCTGGTGTTGTCTTTTAAAGGTATTCTTCACATTAATCTTCGTGGTCTTAAATAACATTTAAACTTGCGTGTATAGGGTAAACATCACAATTGCAGAAGGATAACAATTACTCCAAGTAAACGCATATAAATGGCTTTACACTCAATACAAATTTGTGGTATGTGCGGAATTCCACACATTGTAGACAACAAATCGTTGTTGTGAGCATCCGAAGTCATTACTCACAGTTGCACTGATTCACCGATTCACCGACGCCACTAACTCCCCGACGCCACAATTGAACGTCTGCAAGTGCTACTGCAACTGCAAGTATTAACAGAGGATTAACTCATGGAAATGCATGTACCAATATAGCCCACATGTAACCCACATATATTCGTTGTTTTCGAAGCAGAATCTCTGCGAAATGTGCCATTGAATGTTTGTTGAATACCTCACAAATCAGTTTAATGGTTGGCGGTGGGTCACTACTGATGTTAGCTATTAGAGGGAATTTCTAATATGTGTAGGATTTAAAACAGTTTGAAGTCAACAGTCTCAAATCTGTTCAATTTTGCCAGAATGAGCAATTAAATCTCGCTTAAAGCAATGAAATATCACTTCATTTCTTTAAAAAAAATATATATCCCCACTGTGGATGTATTCAAGTTAAGGATAATATTTAGTTTCTATCTAGAATATTTATATAAAAATAAGTTTTTTCCAATTTTTTTTGGGAGTAAATAATGAGTGATGTTCTATGAAGTATCCCATCACTTATGTCTATGGCGGATACATATGAGCCATAAAGTATGAGTTATGGAATGACTGTGTCAATTAAAATGTACTTTAATTATTTATAGAATATAACTCTGCCTAATAAATGGAAATCGCAATAATACCGCTATTAACTTTTTCCTTTTGTTGTGTCCGATTTGAGCCCTCAAACAACCAAAACATTAAAAACATTTTCAAAATTTACTCAACCAACTGTTAAATCCTCTTAATTCTGTGCACTTAAGCCAATTTTACGCCATATTCAATTTGCTTTATCATGTTGGTCATTATTTATTCAAAACATGCAAAATCAATGGTTCGGTAGGAATATGGGTGCAAACATTGCTGCTCGCTGCTCGGTGCTCTCCTTCAACGGACAGGCAAAAAAAAAAAATAAAAAATCACCACAAACATAAACGAACACCAAAAGGCGATGACGTATGCTTAATTTCAAAAACCCAGAATTATTTATTAGCATCGGCGCCGGAAATCTACGGCAAAAGGTAGCCAACAGACGTGTCCAATGGAAGCGGATGCTGTGATACTGTAATGATTACGTTTTAGTGCATGGGGGGGAAAATTCTACAATATAACGAAAACGAATATAAAAAAAAAATAAAATTTCTGCCAAATATCAACAAAAACCAAAAAAATAATCTCTTCTGGCAAATAGAAAAATATAGGAAAATATTTACATGACGTGTTAAAGCAAATGAAGTTAATCTGGGAATAAATAAATTGCAAAATTCAGAAAAAAGCTATTAAAAAATTTAACACATATCCATTTATGTTGTTCCAAAAATTGCCATACAAAGAATAGACAATAATGGATTTAATCAGAGGCAAATATTTAAAAAAGAATTTAAGTTTTTTTCGTTTTAAGTTAAACAGTTAGAAAAAAATTAAAAATTTATACATAAATTGAGGTTCAATAACTTGAAGTATTATATCAACCTCCCATACTCATATTCTTAATATACGGTTATTCCAATTTTGGAGAGCTCAATTAAGTAATACATAAAGATATCAGCTCCATTACTACCTTCCCATGCTAACGCAACTGCCAAAAACCCATCCTCATATTTAAAAAAAATGGATATCACATCTAATTGGAATCTATCAAGTTCAACAATATGGGTATATTTCTTTTTAAAACCCATCAATTTAGAATCTACTAAACTAATCAATGTAGGTATAACTATTCCTGATACCTGTCTATTTATAGTCTACAAAAT